GAGAGAGAGAGAGAGAGAGAGAGAGAGAGAGAGAGAGAGAGAGAGAGAGAGAGAGAGAGAGAGAGAGAGAGAGAGAGAGAGAGAGAGAGAGAGAGAGAGAGAGAGACAGAGCGAGAGAGAGAGAGAGAGAGAGAGAGAGAGAGAGAGAGAGAGAGAGAGAGAGAGAGAGAGAGAGAGAGAGAGAGAGAGAGAGAGAGAGAGAGAGAGATAGCTCACCGACAATTTTCCGTCTTTTCGTAATAAGGGGAATATGAAGAATTTCCCTTCATACGCCAGACAGACGTTGTCATGGTAACGTGAGGCTCTTCCCTCCACCTCCCTCCCTCCCTTCCCTCCTTGCTCTTCCTTCCTCCTCCCTCCATCACTACTGGTCTTCCTCCTCCCTGCTGATTTATTCTCCATCATCAATTCTTTTCCATTTATTCCATCCTTCTTCCACACCATCCCACCCTCTCCACAACCCCCTTCCACTATCTGTTACTTCCCCTCTCTTCCATGAAGCATTACTCCCCTCTCCGTCCTCATAAACCCCCTCCCTCCCTGCCCCTTAAACCCCCCTTACCCCTTGCCCCTTCTAACTTAACCCCCCCCCCCCAACCCTACCTCCTCTTCCTTCCTCATTTTCCTGCCAATGAAGTTTTCTTTAGTTCCTCTAAGTAGAGTTTTACGAGATAAAGTTTACGGAGGGTAAGAGAGGCAAAGTTATGTTGTTGCTAGGTGAGGGAGGCACCCTCCCTCTCTCTCCCTCTCTCTCTCTCTCTCTCTCTCTCTCTCTCTCTCTCTCTCTCTCTCTCTCTCTCTCTCTCTCTCTCTCTCTCTCTCTCTCTCTCTCTCTCACCTCTCTCTCTCGCCCCAGTGCCTCCATCTCCGAACAAAACTCATCACAAGTTTTTAAAGTGTCTGTGTTTTCTCGACTGTTCCCTGATGGGGTTGTGTACTGGGGTGTGTACTGGGGCAGTGAAGGGGTGTACTGTGTACTGGGGCAGTGAAGGGGGTGTACTGGGGCAGTGAAGTAGTGTACTGGGTGGCATGGTACACTTGTATTGCCAAATAGGCGCTGCCTCGTATTGGCCGTAAGGCCTTCTGAGGTTTCCTATATTCTTATGTTCCTAAGTAAGGGAGTACTGGGGTAAGGAATGAAGGTACTGGTGAAGATAAGTACTGGGGAAGGGGTTCCTTGTATCACTAGCCTCGTGGCCCAGTTCCTGACTTAAAACATACAGGTTGAGCGCCTAATCAAGCAGACAAAAGGTGATTGTAAGCAGGCGACGAGTCACAATAACGTGGCTGAAGTATGTTGACCAGACCACACACTAGAAAGTGAACGGACGACGACGTTTCGGTCCGTCCTGGACCATTCTCAAGTCGAATGGTCCAGGACGGATCGAAACGTCGTCGTCCCTTCACTTTCTAGTGTGTGGTCTAGTCAACGGTGATTGTAACTAGCAGCTCAACGTAGGAGTCATAGATCAGATGATCAGGGCCACACTGTATGTACTAGGTGACATGACCGGTTGAGCAATGTGTCATCCCCCCCCCCTAGTATATGTATTTTACATTAGCAAATACATTCCTGTAAGGCACCCTAGACCATGTTACAGGGATCTGAAGCCTAGGCAGCAGAAAACGTGGACCAGACTGTGCGACACAGTGGTTGCCAGGATCAGGTTGGGTTACCGTTACCTGTGGCAGGTGGCTACTGGTACCTGTGGCAGGTGGCTACCGTTACCTGTGGCAGGTGGCTACCGTTACCTGTGGCAGGTGGCTACTAGTACCTGTGGCAGGTGGCTACCGGTACCCGTGGCAGGTGGCTACCGTTACCCGTGGCAGGTGGCTACCGGTACCTGTGGCAGGTGGCTACCGGTACCTGTGGCAGGTGGCTACCGGTACCTGTGGCAGGTGGCTACCGTTACCTGTGGCAGGTGGCTACAGGTGACGGGTCTCCCAATCCTGAGCACTCCAGGCGCAAACTCTGTAGAACGTAGACTATGTAGAACGCTGTGAGTCCATGCACAGCTATGCCAGATAAGTCCACTACGGGCTCACCATATCCCGTGCTACTTGCAACTGTGTGTCTAAAGTTAAAAACTGGATCTAAAACAACCACATCTACCAGTCTATGTGTGTGTGTTGTAGGTGTATGCCTTCCCAGTCTTTAACACATTGTGGTGATTAGTTGGGTAAACTCTATCAGACTATAGTCCTGTGTTTGCTCTGTCCAGCAAGTTGAACTAGTCGCTAGGGGGATGGCCTCGCTTATTGCAGGTTGGCGTTCAATCCCCGATGGTCCGAGTGACTGGGCACCGTTCCTTAACTCCTTCCTCCTATCCCAGCTCCTGTCCCGTCATCATATATCCCTTCCATGTGCTATATACAGCCATACTGGCTTCGTGCTCTCACCTGATAATTGCCTTACCTACCGCTTTTATGCAACATGTCATTACTGCAGACCCAGGTGTGTCCCCAGGACCCTGGCTAGGTTTTGTTGTGGGAGGGTTGTTGTGGGAGGGTTGTTGTGGGAGGTTTGTTGTGGGAGGGTTGTTGTGGGAGGGTTGTTGTGGGAGGTTTGTTGTGGGAGGGTTGTTGTGGGAGGGTTGTTGTGGGAGGGTTGTTGTGGGAGGGTTGTTGTGGGAGGGTTGTTGTGGGAGGGTTGTTGTGGGAGGGTTTAGGGCGCATCTGTCCTTTCAACTACTTAAAAATTAAAACCAAAATTCCTCAGTCTCTGAAAAAAATATATTTACCTAACAAATCGATCAGCACTGGAAAATTCCCCACCCACTTTACCAGATGAGGTTATTTCCCTCACTATGCTGGCAGGACAGGGGAGGAACTCCGCCAAAATATCCCCGCCACTAGCGCGTCTCAAGTTCCCCTGACAATTTGACTAGAGCAAGGAATACCCCCCGCCATTCTGACATGGCGGGGAATTTTTCGACCGTTCTGCTACAACAGTGAAATTCGTTACCGTCCTCCAGGCTATCAGGACAGGGGAAACTTTTACCGCTATCTGAAAAGAACAGGGGGAAATTCTCCCACTATTTTACCAGAACAGGGAATTTCCCCACGGTTTAACAGGAAAGGGGATATTCTCAGGTCCTCGGTGGTGGGGAGGGGGGAGGGGGGTAGGGGGGGGAGGTGTAATCTGTGTGGCACAGTCTCTTAAGTGGTTTCCAGTCACGTTGACAAGTGGGGAAAGTTCCTTCACCCCCAGCTGTGAGACAGTTCACTGTCTCACCACCAGCTGTGAGATAGTTCACTGTCTCACCCACCAGCTGTGAGATAGTTCACTGTCTCACCCCCCAGCTGTGAGATAGTTCACTGTCTCACCCCCCAGCTGTGAGATAGTTCACTGTCTCACCCACCAGCTGTGAGATAGTTCACTGTCTCACCCACCAGCTGTGAGATAGTTCACTGTCTCTCCCCCAGCTGTAAGACACCTCACTCTCTCACCCCTAGCTGTGAAACAGCTCACTCTCTCTCCCCTCCTCTCCCCTAAGACGCTAAATAACAGAAGTCACACAAAGAAACAAAAACAAAAGTCGGCAACTCATCACCCGAAGCCCCGCCCTCCACCAACCAGAAGAGGGCGCCCTAACAAGTCATTTTCCGCGCAGCTGATTGGTTCTCCAGGGTAGTTAGCACGTAATGAGGTAGCGACAGAATTTTCTCGTTACGATCTTAGGAAGAAAGTTTATGTCCCCCTTAACTTTATACGGAGTTATCGTACTCAAGTAGTTTTAATAATCGAACTCGGAGGGAATAAGGTGTATTGTGTATAACTTGATTACCTACGTATTTTTGCCGTATTTATGGGGCTAAGTTACTGTATTCATGGGGCTAAGTTACTGTATTCATGGGGCTAAGTTACTGTATTCATGGGGCTAAGTTACTGTATTCATGGGGCTAAGTTACTGTATTCATGGGGCTAAGTTACTGTATTCATGGGGCTAAGTTACTGTATTCATGGGGCTAAGTTACTGAATTCATGGGGCTAAGTTACTGTATTCATGGGGCTAAGTTACTGTATTCATGACACTAACTTACTGTATTAATGTAGCTAAGATGCCTGCTCATGGCACTCAAGTTACCTTATTCATGGGGCTAAAGTTACCGTATACATGTGTATACATACCTATTTGTACCGTCTGGATCAAGCTTCAACTCCTGGACCCAACTTTTCAGTCGTTCTTGAGGCTACATTGAGAGTATTTCGGGGCTTAGCGTCCCCGCGGCCCGGTCCTCGAGCAGGCCTCTTTTTTTTGGTTACACATCCCCAGGAAGCAGCCCGTAGCAGCTGTCTAATTCCCAGGTACTTATTTACTGCTAGATGAACAAGGGTATCAGGACGACACTGCCCATTTGTTTCCGTCTCCGCCGGGGATCGAATTCGGAAACTACGAATACCAAGCGCTGTCTATTCAGCCGTCAGGCCACTACGTTCCTTCCTATTATTCGTTACATACATACATTTGATACTGTAACTGGTCCAGGAATACGGTCATACAAATTCAATATATATATATATATATATATATATATATATATATATATATATATATATATATATATATATATATATATAATATATATATATATATATATATATATATATATATATATATATATATATATATATATATATATATATATATACACACGTATGTTGATAATTAGTCCCAGTATGTGTGTGCATACATATATAATTAGTCCCAGTATGTATGAACATACATCTATAATTAACCCAAATATGCGTGCATAACCATCTATAATTAGTCCCAAACTATGTGTATACATACATCTACAGTAGTTCCAATATATATGTGCACATACACCCTAATAGTCCTAATATGTGTGCATGACCATCTATAATTAGTCCCAATACGTGCACACGTATATCTATAACCATTCCCCAATATGCCTTAACAACATTATGTACTGGTATAACTGGTTCCACCGTAGCCCCGACGTACCAGCCTCACCCCCCCTTGTCCGTGGCTTACCGTGATCTGGAGGTGCTTGTACGTAAGGACGGTGTGCTTCGGGACGTTGTGTACGTGGCAAGGACGAAACACGGACTGGAAACGTCCAGAATCTGTGAGGAGAGAGAGAGAGAGAGATGAGACTGATCAGCCACGAAGAGGAGACACCCTTCCTCATCAGCCTTATAATGTTCATTAAGTCAATTTGGCTAAACTATGTTGGACTCGATCTGGGGGTCACACACACACACACACACACACACACACACACACACACACACACACACACACACACACACACACACACACACAGTGATGTGTGTGGAGGCTGACTCCATACACAGTTTCAAGTGTAGATATGGTAAGAGCCCAATAGGCTCAGGAACCTGTACACCTGTTGATTGACGGTTGAGAGGCGGGACCAAAGAGCTAAAGCTCAACCCCCGCAAGCATAACTAGGTGAGTACAACAACTAGGTGAGTACACACACACACACGCACACGCGCGCGCGATGGACCTATTCAAGCGAAATGCAAGGAGGCCGAAGAGAGTTTTATACCAACATTAAAATAAAAAGTAGTTGGGGAATATAATAACCCATGGTTTAATTGACAGTGGCAAAAAGCAAAAGTGAGAAGCAGGCGGGAGTGGAGGAAGTACAGAAGACAATAAGATTAGATGCAACACAGCTAGGAGTGAATACATTAATATAAGGAGAGTATCGGAAAGACATTATGAAAACGATATTGCAATGAAAGCGAAAAAGCAATTTAAATTAATATATAGTCATATTAGAAGTAAAATGTCGGTGAACGAACAAGTGAAAAGACTAAGGAAAACAGAAGGGGCATATACACAAAGCAACAAGGAAATCTGCAAGGTACTGAATGCTAGTTTCCATGGAGTGTTCACAACCGAGCCTAACTACCTGCCATTGTTAGCAGAGGAGATGAGAGACTAACGGATATAGAGGTGACAACAGAGGCGGTAATGAAACAACTAACAACACTGGATGAAACTAAAGCAGTTGGAACAGACAATGTATCACCGTGGATACTAAAAGAGGCAGCACAGGCCCTTAGCTATTCGCATACGAGCGAAAAGCGACGTTATTTTTAAGAGGACGGATTAACGAGAGACCAGTCAAGGTATTCCGCCCCCACTAAAAGAAACACAAAAAAAAACTAAATACAAGTCCAAAAATATAGAACAAGGCTCGTTCCTGAGCCAAGGGGTAAGAGTTCTAAGGAAGACTGAGGGACATGAACCTCACTACACTGAAGAGGTAGGACAGACATGATCTATCTTGAGGTTATCTTGAGATGATTTCGGGGCTTTTTAGTGTCCCCGCGGCCCGGTCCTCGACCAGGCCTCCACCCCCAGGAAGCAGCCCGTGACAGCTGACTAACACCCAGGTACCTATTTTACTGCTAGGTAACAGGGGCATAGGGTGAAAGAAACTCTGCCCATTGTTTCTCGCCGGCGCCTGGGATCGAACCCAGGACCACAGGATCACAGTCCAGCGTGCTGTCCGCTCGGCCGACCAGCTCCTGATACAGACATATAAGATACTAAAGGGGATTTAGATAGATATAGAAACAACATTCAAACTAAGAAACAGCAGAACGAGAGGACGTAATTGGAAACTGAAAACACACGAGTCAATGAGATGTCAGAAAGAACTTTTTGAGTCACTGTCGTAAATACGCTGAACGCATGATAACGTAATTTAGTGCGTTTTTACTACACATGGGGAAGGTTATTCAATAACCTTCACTTATGTATACATGTATACAAGCATGTATACTTCCATATTTTAATACATATTCAACATAACATAAAGGATTGCATACAATTACTCTTCTCATAATGCATATGTAACATTGTATTATATTCAGATCTATCACATATATTAATACAATATACATGAACGTATGCTAATGTATTTAATGTATATGCCATAGGCAAGAGTGATAATACAATAAACGCCAATTTATATCAATATATTTTAATACCTACATCGCACGTTGGGAGACAATACGATATACATGACCGTGTATTTTCAGATTTGGATGAGTATACGTGAGGCATTGATATGTATATTAATATTGTGTCTTGGGTCCCCAATTAAGTATCCCAATTAGGTAACAGAGTCGCCAATTACCACTCTGGCGTTACTCTGCCTTAAGAGGAGTCGAGGTCTCTTTAAGAGCGCTCTACGGTGTCCACAGCACCCTGTAGAGCTGCTCTCTACTGGGGCTCTACTCCCCTCCCCAGGCACCAGTGTTTACTTCTGGGGGAGCAACCTCAGTCGATCTTCTGAGCAGGGTTCCCTCTGAACCCATCCTTGCACCCCTGTAGTGAGGTAGCTCGCCCACTCCCTAGTCTCCCTCGAGGTGTGTCTGTAGACACGTAAACTTTAAGGTTTACCCTTGTCAAGTTGCCTGTCTATAAGGATAGTCACAAGGGGCCAGATTCACGAAGCAGTTACGCAAGTACTTACGAACGTGTACATCTTTCCTCAATCTTTGACTGCTTTAGTTACATTTATTAAACAGTTTACAAGCATGAAAACTTCCCATTCAACTGTTGTTATTGTTATAAACAGCCTCCTGGTGCTTCGGAGCTCATTAACTGTTTAATAATTGTAAACAAAGCCGCCAAAGATTGAGAAAAGATGTACATGTTCGTAAGTGCTGGCGTAAGTGCTTTCGTGAATCTGGCTCCTGGTTAGTAAAAGTCTCTAAATCAGTTCGATGGCAACACTCCTGAAATTATCGTGTGGCAACACTGCACACTTCCCAAATCGAAACTTATGATCCCTTAACCGATACTTATGTCACTTTGTGAATGTAAATATATATATCATAAAGTCTCTTCAATATATGTAGTCTTTAAATCACTACTTAATACATGAAAACCTAATCACTGACACCAAAATAATTAATATAATATGGTTTTATGTCCGATGTCACTCCTCACGTAATTCTCAATTATCACCTTAATTGTTATATAACACCTTTCCTAACACAAGGGGGGATTGAGAGGATAATTTAACTTTAACAATAATGATTAATTATATTATTATTATAATAATAATTGTTGTTATTAATGATTGTTAAGTCTTCCTTTCGCTGGGTCATGAAGGAAGTCGGTCTCGGGTGAAAGGGGGATGTCTGGAACCCGTAGGTGCTGGGGTGGGTCGTCCACCTGCCGGGGCTCGTGCGGCCCCCCAGGCTCTGCTTCAGGAGGCTGGGGTCGTTCTTGCCCTTGCTGGGGTGGTTCTTCTCCCGCCCCGACCACGACGGTCTCCGGGTTTGGAGTCCCTGTGCCTTCTTTTACCAACTTCGAGGTCAACTCCTGAGCTGGAGCCCCCTGGGGTAGTTCATTGTTGCCTTCAACCTCGTGCTGACAGCTCCTGCGACGGCGCTGGAAGCAATTGTATTGGCGTTTACATTGGAGACTTTCGGCGCCGTGGAGAGGGGGGGGGGACCGGCTGCATGGGTAACAGCTTCTCCCCCTAGAGGCCACCCCAGACCAACAACCAGAGCGGAACCCCATAATCTCCCGAGTCTGATAGATGCCTCTCTCTGCCTACTACTATATAGATCGTAGACTCATAAATCGTAGGCGCGTAGCGTAGCTCTTCACCGATCCACAACGTATTCTTGTAGGTGAGTAGGTTAATGACTCTTCACTTGGCGCCAATGCACTGGGGCTCACGCCACACCTGACGCTGTACCCAGCATGCACTGAGGGCTCGCCCAGAGCGGGAAAGCTCTCCTCCCTTGCCAGCTGCTCCGCCATATTTGATGATGGATTCGTCTCCTAGCCTGCTTGATACCTGCTTGCCGTAACAATGTATACCCAGAGCAGGGAATGTATACCCGCTGGGATGGGCGGATATATGATACATGGGAAATGCTGAGCAAGGCTTGTGTGTGTTATTCATTTATCTGGTTATATCTGTAAACACTGAACTCCATGACATTGCGTCCTCCCTCTCTCTCTCCCTCCCCGTCTCTCTCTCTCTCTCTCTGATATTCACCACATATTTTTTTCCTTTTCTCACTCCTGATAATCGTATTAAGGTCCTTGTTCGTCTAAAGGCAATGCTGATGCAGATGAAGATTCCCAGTTAGTGTGAGGTTTAGGGGACAGATTCGATGGGCTTTCATACCCCAGACTGTTTTTAACCCCACGAGGGCTATATATTCCCTTTTCCCAAGTGTAGTTACAAGACGAGAGCTGTGCTCGTGGTGTCCCGTCTTCCCAGCACTCTTTATTATATAATGCTTTGAAATTACTGACGGTTTTGGCCTCCACCACCTTCTCACTTAGGGTAGGTCAGAATAGGTTAGGGTATGGTAGGTCAGTCTAAGGCAAGCTAGGCAAAATAGGTCGATAGGTAAAGTTAGGTTAGAGATAGGTCAACATAGGTTAGAGTGCGATAGGTCAGGATAGGTTAGAGTCGGTCATGCTAAGCAGACCCAGTTACAATTATATCCAGAACCTAGTGTCTGGCAGCGCTGCACGATGCCTCACTAACTGTCGTTGCTCCCCCTTTACTGACGTACACACAACAAGTCGTAACGTCACCTTATCCCGTATAGTGAATAGCGTGTGCAGCGCCCTCTGGAACCTCATCCTGGAATTCAATCGATGAGCGCAACACTAATGTACTTTTCCACGTGTTTGCAAGCCTCAATGAACGAGAAAATGATTCTGCTAACTTCAATGTGTTTCAATTTTGATTTTTGGCGCGAACGCAGTGATGAGGATGCGCGATGATCCTTTTCTAGTTCTCTAGGAATTATCCAATCAACCTTCACTGCGGGAGCTATGAAACTGACAGTTCTCATAACCTGCATGATCCAAAATGTCGATGATTCATGTCAAACTGTAACAATTTGATTAAGATTATCTCAATTGTTGTTGGAAATTTGGTACATGACAGTCCGCCCTTCCCCGGGGCCGAGGGCGCCCACTGGCCATAACCTGCAGCGCTCGCTGATTGGTCCATCATGTTGTCATCATATAGTATCGGCTTTGCTGCGATTGGTCTATTCTCCTGTCATATAATCACTGACACGCCATGATTGGTCCATTCCCTTGTCATATAATCTTGGGTACACCGTGATTAGTCGATCCAGAGAGTTCAGGCAGAAAGTGTGCTTAATGCTATGGAAACTAATTTGAATAATGCTCGTATTCACATCTTTACTCACACACACACGGTTGGGAGAGCCGGCCGGCCGAGCGGACAGCACGCTGGGCACGTGATCCTGTGGTCTTGGGTTCGATCCCGGGCGCCGGCGAGAAACGATGGGTAGAGTTTCTTTCACCCAATGCCCCTGTTACCTAGCAGTAAATAGGTATCTGGGAGTTAGTCAGCTGTCACGGGCTGCTTCCTGAAGTGTGTGTGTGGTGTGAAAAAAAAGTAGTAGTAGAAACAGTTGATTGACAGTTGAGAGGCGGGCCGAAAGAGCAGAGCTCAACCCCCGCAAGCACAACTAGGTTGAGGAATTGACAAGGTGGAAAGAGGAAATGTTTATACTGAATAACAATAGAACACGGGAACACGGATGGAAGCTTGAGACTCAGATGTGGCATAAGGATATTAGAAAGTTTTCTTTTAGCTTAAGAGTAGTGAGTAAATGGAATGACCAAAAGAAACAGAGTAGAGGCTAACTCCATCTATAACTTTAAAAGCAGGTATGCTAGAGAAGTAGGCCAGGAGTCATCCTGGCCTACCAAGGCTATAAAAGCGGGGTCCAAGAGCTTGAGCTCGTTCCTGCAGGCACCAATTGGTGAGTACACACACGCACACATTCTCAACAAGACTGATGATGCTAAAGTAATGAGACGAAGTGAGGTCGAGGTCTCTAATAAGATGAGGATAAGATGAACTTGACAATCTCCAGAGATAGTCTAAGAAGTTATCCTTCAGGAACTTGGACAAAGATCCCTTCCCAGTTCTGTACACATCCTCTGTGAGACCCAGTCTTGAGTATGCTGTCCCAGGATGGAACCCTACCTCAAAAGACACAAAACTAGAATAGGTCCATAAATATGAAAAAAGCCTCGTTCCTGAGCTATGAAGAAAGACTGTGGGAACCGGACCTCACTACACTAGAGGAAAAGAAGGAATAGGGCGGACATGATGACGACGTACAAGATACTAAAGGGGACTGACAAAGTAGATATAGAAGCAATGTCCACATTAAGCATCAGAAGAACGAGAGGACACAGGTGGAAACCGGAAACACAGATGAATCAATTAAATAACAGCAAGAACATTTTTCGTCTGTCATAAATAAGACGAACGGACGAAATGAAGATACAAATACGATACACAGTTTTAAATGTAAATACGATCAATGTAAATATGAAAAAAAATCGAGAGAAAAAAAAACTGCGTTGGACCTTAAGATAGTCGAATGCCAGGCAGATGCTCGACCCCGCTAGCACAACTAGGTGAGTACAAACCCTTTCGAGATACATATATGTCAATGTTAAAAGCGACACTGTGATGCCTATGTATCATATACACCACGAATGGTATTATGTATACACCAAATATCCTAGGCCCAGAATCACGTATACATCGCATACCGAAAGAAAGATGTATAGACACATGACGAACGCGTTCAATACATGACAAAGGTTCTCAGTCGACGAGGGGTGACTCCTGTACACAAGCACCAGGGACAACACTATTGGCCTGTGTCTGTCCCCCAGTTGACGGCCACTTGACAGGTCAAACGTTAACTGTCGTTAAATCCACTTGACAGGATGTTCTTCATCACTTTGTGCTTTGTTCACCTATCCCCACCCTTCTCTCTCTCTCTCTCTCTCTCTCTCTCTCTCTCTCTCTGGGTGTTTCTCCAGACAAAATTCCTCTCATATTTTTTCCTCTCCAATTTTCATTCGTAATAAATTCTTGGAATGTTTTCAGCGTTAATGTATAGCTATAACTCCCCTGGTATTAGCCCCTAAAGTGTGGGTTAGACCCCCTGGTATTAGCCCCTAAAGTGTGGGTTACACCCCTGGTATTAGCCCCTAAAGTGTGGGTTACACACCCTGGTATTAGTCCCTAAAGTGTGGGTTACACCCCTGGTATTAGCCCCTAAAGTGTGGGTACACACCCTGGTATTAGTCCCTAAAGTGTGGGTTACACCCCTGGTATTAGCCCCTAAAGTGTGGGTTACACCCCTGGTATTAGCCCCTAAAGTGTGGGTTACTCGATACAAGCCTAAAGAATATATATATCCACAGGCTTCCTGTCCCCCCAAACGAAAAGAATAGCGATAATACTAATAACAAATACATTTATTATGCCCAAATGCTTCAGTAACAGATGTTCCCATGGGGAGAAATCGACCAATAGGAATCTCCTCTGATCCCCAACCTCCATCAGAGAGCCAATCAGCACAAACCATATTGAAAATTCGGCCAATCAGCACAAAGAATATTAAAAAACCAGCCAATCAGCACAAAGCATATTAAAAACCCAACCAA